CCTTGAAAAATACCAATTGAAATTATCAAACGGTAGTTTTTTACTCATAGCCAGACCATATAAGTTATTAGCGTCTAAACAACTTATATAGCTTGATGGTTTTGACTTGTCATATTGTTCATTCATGTATTTATTATTTGCTTCTACTTTTTTATGAGCACATTGTGTCATCCCGCCACGAAGACCTTTTTCAATCATTTCATACATATCTTTATTATGTATTTGTTGAAGTCTAACACCAGTAAGAGATAAGAAGGCAGACCATGAATAATTAGGTAATGTTATGTAATGTGCAGGGTCTAAACCATAATAGTTTAAACACATATCCCTAAAGTTTTCAAAAACATCACTAAGCAAATAAACATCCGTCATCAAATATAAATCATGGTATTCACCTAGGTTTTTGATATTGAAATTATCCCATATTACTTTTGCCCTTGTGTGTTGTGTATCTGCTATACCTTCTTCATATAATTTACTGTAAAAGTCTTCTATATTCGGTAATTGCGATTCATTGAATTTATCAAATGAATTCATGTAGTCGTAAGGATAAACTCCTTTTTCAGTCAATAAGTCTAAATCGGTTTTATTTCTAATATATGGATTTGCTGTTGAAAATCGGAAGTTATTCTCCCAGTCATTCCGTTTTTATATATAGGTTTATCATGCTCATCTTTACCTACTATGTCATATTTATTTAATTTAACTAGTCTATCTAAAGATGCCGAGAGAAAAGCCATGCTATCTTTAAACTGTAATGAACCAAATGAAAATGTAATAAACTTTTCGCTATTTTGTGCAATTATATCTATTTCTCTTATTTTCGTTCAATTCCTTATTTATTTCATTTGCTTTACCTATGATTAAGTGAGAGTCATAGTTTTTTAAATTATGAAAAAGTACTGGTATCTTGAAATATCTAAATGAATAATCCAAATTACATTTTTCGTGAGCACAACCTCTATACTCACCAGTAAAATGACAGTGGTCACGAACTTCTGTATCTTCTGGTTTAAAATTCTTATTACATATTGAACATACAGTAGCTTTTCTAAATTCTGCTTCTTGTTCATCTGTAATATGCAGTGGTTTATCAACATTCATTTTATCAAAAATATCTTTTTTAATTTCTCTTAATTTATTTACAAAGTGGTCTAAACAATCCTCTCCACGGTATAAAAAAGGTTGACTTGTATTATCAATAGAATTTACAACATTCAACATATAACCGCATGGTTTGTGTTCCTGATACGTGCCCTTGATGCCATCAGTTGAATTTTCAGTTATACACTCAAAATCTCCATAAACAACAAACGGACATTTTAATTTTGTATTGTATTTTTCAAATTCAATATAACTACCTTCTTTTGGTAAGCCATACAACCAGTTTCATAATGTTTTGTTAATAAATCCTTTCTAGTAAAAGCATGAGAACAATAATGACAATAATGTTTTGGTTGGTCATTTTTGTTTGTTTGCCAGTTCATTAGACGACTTAGATTTTTAATAATAACATAGTGATGGTTATTTTCTGTTTCAATTTTCAAAAGGCTTATTTGATGTTTAGCATCTCTTGTTTTAGTTCTGTAATCAATTATAATTTTTTCGTCATTAAAAGTATCATCAATTTCATAAACATTGATTGAAACTAACTTACTATTATTTTCTTCAAGCCTTTCAATATCCTTATTACCAGTTGGAAATTTAACACCTTCCCAGTTTAAGATATTGTCGTTTAATTTGTTGTAATGAAAAGAATGTTCTGGGTGACTTTACTAATCGTATCAAATACTACTGATTGAATACAATATTTGAAACATTTATTATCTCTATTTTGAATATTGATACATGCTTTCTTATGTTTAATCCAATCTGGTAAGTCAATATAACTACCTGCCCTAGTAGGGTCATATTTGTCATAATGTAATGTGATTGATAATATCTTTATAAATTTTCAATTAGACGCTGAACCTTCTAACTTTTCTATGTTCAATAAAATCTCTTTGATTGATTTTTCAATTGCTTCATCCAAATCGGTTTCATTATATATGTTTGACCTTGTTGCAGGTAAATTATAAAGTATCTCTGTATGTTTTATTACACCATCATCATCATAATAATGATAAAATAAACCTTCTGCCCTTATATGCAGTTTCATAGCTCTATTAGTTTTCAAAAAGGTCAAAAGTCTATCTTTTTGGTAGTGTGTCATTGATAGAGCCTTTTCACCTTGAAAATGTTTATTTACTAGTTTTATAGAATTAGCATAACTTTTGAATGCTGATTGTTGGTCTGTTATTCTGAATTTGTTTTTTATAGCGTATTTTGTCATGGCATTTTTCAATCTTTGTTTAAGGTATGTTGAGCGAATTGTTTTTGTAGCATGACTATTATATTCATTGGTGTTTGCTACTGATTTTAATTTCTTGTTCAAAACATTCGAGATAGGTTTTTCTTTGTTGTATCTAAATTTCCTACCATCTACAATTATTCATTTTAATTCCTTGTTTCCTCTTTTTGGAATTTCCGCTTTGTCATTATTTAGTAGATAATCTATAACATGTTTCATAATACTATACTATATAATTTAATATATGTTTATTTCTTTAAGTTAATTTAATATATGAATTCTTGCAATATACTTAAAGACATATTATTATATATAAATAACTGTGTTTTCAGGACTTGAGGCGATAAAAGAAACACCGTATTTCCTAGTTCTTGACTTTGTTTGTGACAATTATTTAATATCATTTAATGAAAGTAATGTTGTCTATAAACAGGGAATGTATTCTAGATATAAAAAGTGGTGTAGTAAGAATAACAGAGCATGTATAACCTTTGATAAGTTTGATGAAGAGATAATGAAGAATAATGAAGTTAAATGTTTTACTCATTTTGGGAAAGATTATTATACAAATCTTATTTATGACCCAGAATAAGCATGCATATTTATAACATTTATTTGGTTGAATGTTATAATTATTTTTCTACTTAAAATCTACTTAAAGAAATAATGCCTTAATATATTCAGAGGAAAATGACACTTTTTGATTATAGTAAGTGTGAATGTTGCAGTAATAAAAAGAATGATATTAATCTAACATTGTATAACTTATTACCTGCTAATCTGTGTAATAAAATAAGTGAGTATAATGTATATTGTAACCAGTGTTGTACAACTAGAGACCTTGAAAAGTTCTTTGTTGAAGAACATAAGGATATGGGATATACAAAATTTCAGCTACAATTGAAATTCTTCATGAGATATCACAAACGATTTCCTGTATATTTTTACAATAAAATTGCTAGAAAGTCATTTGAAAAAGAAATAGATGAGTTTTTTTAATAATAAAGATTTGATTAAAAGGTTTGGAGGAGAACTAAGCATTAAACCATATAAATCATTTGCTAAAGAATTTCGTGATTTGTTTGAAGAGATTGATTGGCATTTATTAAGCAAAAAATAAAATAAACGAGGTCTTGAATGAATTTAGATTAACTAAATATCATGTATGGTATTACTACAACACTAAATATAAAGTATGTCTATTGCTGTATTTATTCTTTTGGCAATATATTTATTCAATAATAGGAAAAGACAATATCAAATATATAGACATTGGTGATATTGATAAATATGTAGATTACATATTTGAAGACATATTGCCTGACTGTTATCTTAAATCCTCAATTCTTAATTGACATATAATAATAACATGTAAATTATTATATGTTATAATTATACTAAACTTATTTTTCTTAATGCCTTGAAAATGACTTAAAGAAATAGTGCCTTAATATAATAAGAGGAAAATGAACGGTGATAAAATCAATAATTATATCAATAAAAAATGCTATGATTGTTGTCACTTCAAAAAAGAAAATATGGAATTGTATAAATTGAATTTACTTAATGAAATAGTGAGTAATATTATTAATTATTCAATGGATGAAAAAGACGAATGTGAAAATTGTCAGGAATGGAGAGATAATCAATTTTTAATCAAATGTTTGTTGAGAATAAAAGGAAGACATAATAGAAATGTAGAAGATGAGATTTTAATATTTCTAACTGTAAATAAAATACCACCTTATGATTATGTTAAACAGTTTCTTAAAATCAGTAAGAAAAGTATGACATGATTTATGATATATTATGGATGTTGGGCTATAGTCAAGAGAAAGGGGAAGATGTTAAAGAAAATATCAAACTATTTATTGAAAGTAAAAAGTATAATATTCAAAATACATTGAGAGATATTAATATTATTTTTAAAATGATGTATGAAAGAAGTAAGACAAATCAATTAAATTATTATCCTGTACTGAAATTATAATCATAATATAATAATAACATGTAAAATCTTATATGTTATAATTATACTATACTTATGGTTTGTAAAGATTGAAATATTTCATGTTTTCTTGATTTGGTTATCTCTTTCAAAATGCGTTGTTTGAACTTGGTATGCTCTTTTGATTTTTTCGTGCTTTGGCTGTTTGTATTTTATTTTGTTTGATACTCTTCTGATATTTTTTGTTGGTATGTTGCTTTGTTTTTTGTTGATGAGTGTTTTTGAGTTTGGGTTCTTTGATGGTTTTTATTTTTGCTGTTTTGTTGATATGCTTGTTTGAATTATTTAATGTTGTATGCTTTGATTAAATATTTTGTTGGGGGTTGTTCTGGTTTTTGAGTTGCTTGGTGGTTCTTATCTTGTTTTCTGTGAATTTTGCTGATTTGTGTTTATGCTGTTTGATTATTTGGTTTTATTCTTTCAAATGCCGTTTTATGTATTTTTCTCCCCCCCAAAAAAAACCTACGTAATAGACGTCGGGCGGGGGGGGCTAGGGGGGGGGGTTATCCTCTATCCTCTAGTAAGTATCCGACACGCCGAGCAATGTCGGCGGATATGTACCCAACATGGAATCCTGGTAAATGGAAACACGGACTAAATCCCGCGGTTTCCTGGCTTAATTTTGACCCATACCCATTTCAGGAGGTGGGCACTTCTTTGTCTCCGGCGAGCACTTCCGTGGAGATCTTGCGCTCCGGGGATGTGCTGGTGACCAACGGAAACGAGGCGGGGCGTGGGAATGACGACGGGTCCGGTGGGAATGAACCGTTTTGGGGGGTGGGGTGGGGTGGGAGGGATCGAAATTGAGCAGGAATGGATGAGGAAACCATACAAGATGGGTTAAATTGGGGGTCATTCCAACTTATTCCCTGCTGAGAACCAGCAATTGTTGGGGGCGTGTTTTTTTTTGGGGTGGGGGGGTGGGGGGGTGGGAGGGATCGAAAATGAGCAGGAATGATGAAATCCAGAGACCCCTGAATGGATGGCTGCTTGGCGTTCAGGAAACGGATGACCATTGGTTCTGTTGTTTTGTTTTTTCCTGGGAATCCCCTTGTGGTTGGTTTTTCAGGGGAGCCAAACGGAAAACCGTCATTTTGGGGACAGCCATTTACCCACTTACCAACGAGGAAACGGTTGGAGGTTTCCATGCAGCACTGCAGCACCTCAATTGCAACCAAAACGAACTTGCCGGATCTGCCCTGATCTGGTTTCCGCTTTCCGGGGTTCTCCCATGTCTAGTGGTCCCAAAAGGTGATCACCGTTTATTACCAGGTCCCATCCAGGTCGCAAGCTAGCCTTTGGCCTATCCACTCAAGTGCATTGCGGAAAGGGCATGGATGCCCCAGACAAGTTTCCAGGGATATACCGTACTAGACACGTCCAAGGACGTGCTATATAAGACAGCTGCTTTTTCCAGATACATACCCACATATTGCAAGTACTATGGGAAAGCCCACAAGTACCACTTGTTACGCTGGGCTTGGTGCTTGGAAGAGGGCTAGCAGGATTTGTGTGTTTCTATTGGAGAAAGCGTGGGCTGGCTGGTTGCTCCGATGTGCGGTTCCAGTTGAAAAGGCTAGCGACTTGAAGTCCGTTGCGTGAATTTGTGGAACCACTTGTCTATCCTTGTGTCTTACAACTTGGTTCATGCTTCTTTGCAAGAAAGCAATGGCAACATTGATACTGATGGACAAAATCCACTTCAAACCAGTTGGGATGGATGAACCAAAATGAACACTGGTTGATAAACCACTTGCCAGCTGGTGCATGGCATCACCTTTTGGCCTGATTTTGCGTGAGTTTCCTTTTTGTGGGGTGAGGTTTAGAGAGGAAACACAGGCAACCCTCAGGCGCCTGAAAAGCGGAAGACCTTTGATTGGTTGAGTTACAACTTGTTCAAACCTAAGAGAAGGCCAACCCGAACGAACAAGGGGAACCAAGAAACCAGAAGAGGGCTCCGTTATGCCTCGTTATGCCCCGTTTCTCAGATTCCGGAAGGCGTTGGGAACCCCGAAGACCAGCCAATGTGATGGTTTCCCGGGAGATCCAAGTATGGGTTGCGGAGGTACGAATGCGCAGATCCACTATTGTAGGCTGGCAATGGCAAGACTTTTGTAAGTGGTAACCTCCCCTCCAAAGTCTCCCTGAAAATGCCCTCAGGGTTCATTCCCAGAATCCTGGGTGGATTCTGGAGCCAGTTCACACCGGCGTGCAGGATACCCGGTGTCTTTTTCTTCAAGGGGGGTGGTTCTTGGTAGGAATAAGCCCAAGAACCCCAAATGGAAGCGATTATCATGGGTTGGAATATGCTCAAAAGGCATGGAGGGTTCCTGAAAGTACATCATCGCGGTACTTGCGCCCTACATTTCTGTTGTACACAAAAATGTTGATTCGTTTACAATCAGCGGTGTCTCCTTGATTGGTTCGCATGTTGTTCGGGCCGATTGGGGGTGGAGGGGGCCACCAAACCACATCCAAACCACCAATGTGTTGGTTATGGTCCAATATCGATGGCTGCCCAAAGCAACTCGAACCTTTTGACCTTTGGGGTTATTTTTTGGGGGGGGTGCAACCATTGTGCCTTTTTGGGTTCAACCATTTTGAGTCGCCCCAAAAGGTTCTCTCACACACACCCAGTTGTTTGTTTTCCGTTTCGTTTCGGACCCAAACGAGAGCGCATGTCGCGAAACGCAAGCGAGGTGGAGGTGATCCACGGCGCGGCGCCCCACGTCACCACCAAGCCCGATGCGGCCCCTCGGCTTTGGCGGCTTGAGCGGCGGGAAGGCGAGCTCCGAAAACGGGGAGGCGACTCCTTTGGGGGGTTTCTGGGGTAGACGTAGGATACATTTTAGCAAATCTTGCCAGTCAACGTGAAGCAGACATGTAATATATATATATATATTCTACAACTGGGCCAAACTCTAATCATGTTTGGGGCTCCTTCCGTTGCTGAAAGGAATTTGTGTTTTTGTTGCTGTTCCCCTTTTGGTTCTAAGGGCATTTGTCTCACTACGGGTTTGTTTTGTTAGGTTCATTTTTTTCCGGAACACTCAAGCAAAAAAAAAGAAGGAAGGTTCCTCAAAGGTTCCAGCGGAAAAAACCGCCGCGGCTTCTTTCGTTTTGAGCGAAAGCAGCAGAAGTACCAAAGGTGGAAGAACTTGCTTTTCGGCGTCAACTTTGGTGAAGAAAAGCGTTGAGCAAGCAGGTTGCCGACCAATTTTCTCTGGCCACGCCACGTACAAAGCATGTCCAACTCAAGTGGGCACCTTAGATCCTAAGAACCACTTTTGTGGCAATCCCAGTGGGTGGCCGCAACCTGGAAACCCCGATGTCCAGGTGAAACGGATCGAAGCGGCACAGCGTCTTCTTGTAGGGCCCACCATGGGTTGGTTGACCGTTTGGCTTTCTTTTAACCCCGCAGAGAAGGTGCCTTTAAAAGGACACCCAAACAATTACACACACGAGTCATGGTTTTAAGGTAATTACCCAGCTCCATTCTAATATCCAGTTATTGGAGCCTGGCAAGGTACCGTGAAAGAACGGGTGTGGTGACAATGTCACCAGCCACCTGTGAGGGTGTTCCCTATTAGAACTCATAGTCATGCAGGTGTTTTTGCAGTTGGTACCCTTTTGTCGGGTTTTGTTGAGGTTTGACTTGAACGGGAAAACCAACGCAAGCCCGCGCCCATGTTGGGGGTAGACCCATATTTATTTGTTTCTTCGCAACTTTAAATATCAGATATGGTTGCCTTCTGGTGAGGGCTAGCAAAGGTCGCTAGCTTGGGGATGACCACTCAAGGGGATTAGTTTCCATGGTTGACCCTTTAGAGTGAAGCTTCTTTTTGCGGGGTGATGTTTAAGTTGAATCTGGAGATGAGGAAGCCAGATGTGTGTAATTCTATTTCCTACTGAAAAAAGAATGTCGCGCTTCTGCGAAGCCAAGCATTTCCCCTCCTTCCTCCAGTCGGTTGCACTGAGCAATCAGTTTTCCATGTTTGTTCCGGTTGGCTCCCTTTTGTCCACTTGAGCGCTCACTTGGCGCAGTATGTCTTGCTTTCCAAACACGAGCATCGCTTGAATGGCAATGGCACGAACCAAAAGTTGGCCGCCTGGCCGAGGACGGCACCACTGCTCCGTACCCGGCGCAAAGCCTCTTGGAGACGAGAAGCTCGCTGAGCGATGTGGCGGCGCACAACATCCCATAGGGAAGGAGATGAGCTAAAGCTGCTCAAAAAAGCGCATAGTGGCATAGTACGAACGAGTCTTAGATGAGAACGCGTGACTTTAAAAGAGGCAAGCTCTGCTTCGTTCAGCCGGGCAGCAAGAGTCATCTTCGGGGTTGCTGTGGGTCCGCTGGTGACTTCCCCTCAAACACCAAGTAGGGTTCCTTCCCTTGACTGCTATTGAGCAACGGATCTTTGGACTTTAACTTTTTGGTTGAAATCAAGAGGGTGTCCACTAAACCCCCAAGCAGTTAAACTTTTGCAGGGGGGTCAACAGCAACCAAGCTCCTTCAGGCCGGTTGCAGCCTATGGCTCGAGGGGCTGGAGTCAGGTCAAAGGATGCAGTTTTGAGGTAGTTCCATCAGATCCGAGTTGCAGAGGGTCTGAGCATTTAAGTAGTCTTAGCCATGGCGCGGCAAATGGTGGCTCCGCCTGGTTGCGGGATTGAGTATGGCATGGGCAGCAGCATGAGGACATTATTCGTACCTGGGAACCTTTCTGAGAAAACCTTTTGCTGTGGGCGTTTGACTCATTTTGTATGTGTGCGTCCTAAGTGGTTTAAGATAACCTGTTACTCGGTTACCTACTGAACATGTGAGATACGGCAAGAACCTGTTCTTGGTGTTCCTCCTTGGCTGCTGAGAATGTGAGATAAGGTTTCAGAGGTTGGATCCTGGTCTTGAAGCGCCTTAGCCCTTGGTGTATGGGCCAAGATAGCTGGTCCTGGACCGGGAATCTGCAACTCGCGTTAGACATATAGCCAGAGGTACATTCTCAAGATCTCCCTCTCAGGTTCTCAAAGGGATCGGTGTCCATTTCAACCATGCCTGGCTTCCTTTTGGTCTCCCTACCAACCAAAAGGGGGTCCAAAATCCATGTGGATTTCGCAACCATCCACCGTACATCTCCCAAGCATCGCCCAGATCCCAAGAAAAACTCAGCCTTGGGCCAAAACGGTGAGGCGCAAACGTTCTCATGTGTCCGTCCATGTCCCCGCAAATTTCGATGGTTTGACTCGAAACGTCCAACTTGAGGAGTCCGTGTCCCACCTTTCCGCTGGAGGGGCAGCACAAGTCTGGGAAGAAGAGTCCATCTCCGACCGGTTCTTTGGGGTCACGGCTCACAAAGCTTGTTTTTTTTTTTTTTTAATTTGCGACTGAGCCAGGCCGGATCTAGGTCCAATTCTTGGGGTGTTGCTCTGAGGAACGTTTCAGAAACCCACGGGGTTCCCTAACATGAGACGAGTCGAACATCGGACGGGTTTTGCAGGGCTGCTTAACAGATGGATCCATTTTGCAACCATTTGAAACATTGGTTTTTTCAACGCCAAAATAAAGGGAAACCGCGATTTACAAGGCAATGCTCAGGTGTATAATGTAAGGATCCCTGTTTTGGTGATTCCATGCTGGAGATTACAATTCACCCAGATGAGCTTGACTGTGGCTCAGATCTTTGCTTTTTGCTTGGCGCCCCTTTTGTTTTTTTGACAATGACTCTTTCCAACCACCAACTACCCAGCCATAAGTGAATCACTTTGTGCAAGGGTCAAAGACCGTCCCAGTTTTGGGTATGGACCATGGGCCCTGACCCATGCCATGGGTGTGTCTTTGTTTAGTATTCGAACCCCCAAAGTGGTTGTTTCACGGGTGTTGTTGGGAAACATTTTGCTTTTTTGCTTATTGTGGTTTAGTAGGAAATCCTCGCTTAAGTGCTAAAATTGCATTTTTGCTCCCCTTCCAACGTCAACCAAGGTTTTCCCTTTGATTTCCATTTCCCTGTAAAACTCACTAAGAAATACGTTTTCCTTTCGTTTGCCTTCAAGACCCGGGTCCACCCCCTTAGCCCGCAAGAAGTGGTAAACAAAAAAGCATGCCTGGATCGCCAGTTGCTGTTTCTTTTTCCATGCACTTTGCCCCAAAAACCAGCAACAGTGACTGAAAAAAGTGATCGCAACTTGGCTATCTAGGTGGTTACGGTTTGGGCGAATCGATCCACCATGCATTCGATCGGAAGTGAGACAAATCTTTGGTGCATTTTGCTTGGCTGTTAGGACTTTAACTTTTTGCCAACTAATGGGTGTTCCGCTAAACCACTAAAAGTTAAACTTTCAATGGATGTGTTTGAGTTTGCCAGGCGAACTTCTCGCGGCTCATGGACAGCATGGTCTTCACCACCTTTTTGATGTTCGTGAGCGGCTTCGGCCTCTTCTTGCCTGGGGGCCCAGAAGAGAAAGTCCAATGGCCCAATGGAGCCGTTGCTTTGGTGCATTTTGCCAAGGGATGTTAGGACCTTAACTTCTTGCCAACTAACGGGCTTTCCGTGAACCCACTGGAAGTTATTTTTTTAGCCGAAGGTTTTTGGTTTCCACTTTCGGGGAACATGCAGAGAATCCCCTTGCAAATGACAATTCGCACACTTGTGTTTGCGCTGCGAACGGTTAGAAGAGGCAACACGAAGGTGTTTTGTTGTGAATTGGAATCGAAGAGCTGCTGTTTTCTCAGTGGCTTACAAAGCTTCCCCGGAATTAGCTCCTTTTTTTGCTTTTTTGGGGTCCCTTTGTTTTGCACTAACCAGGCCAAAAAAAAGATTTGTTTTTGCTGGGGTCCTAGTTCCAGCCTAGAAAGAAGGGACTTGCATGGAGCTTCCAGGTTTGCCCAGAAAGATGGCGTGAAAGCAATCTGCAAGATCCCAGGGCAGTTACGCAGGGCCCCAGTTTGAAACATGGCTTGTTCCACCAAAATAAAGGGAAACCACCATTTGCAAGGCAATGTTCAGGTGTATAATGTAAGGATCCCTGTTACGAAAAGGGTCTGCTTGGGACAATATTTGGCAACATCTGGAACATCTTTGCCCTTGACTAAAATGATGTTGGTACTGTGGGTGGACGGAATCCATTTCGCACCACCCAAGAAACCCTGGTTTCCCTGGTGCGAAATGGATTTCGTCCAGCCGCAGAAGGTTATGAGAAGGGTTGGAGAATTGGAGGTCCAGACCTTCTCATGGCACCTTGGTTTCCTCTCCAAAAAAAATGCAACGCTCCGAAAACAGGACGGGAGCAAACAGAAACATAGCATCAACATACCTCACAGAAACATACCTCACAGAAACATACCATACCAAACATACCATTGCAGTTCCCATCTTGCTACCTGGAGTCTCCATGACCCCTGGAAAAGGGGTGTCATCACCCCTTGAACTTGGGTGATAAGCCCTTCAACTTCGTTCAACTTGAAGGGTCAGAAGGCGACTCTAGGTACATGGAACTCCTTCCCAAAAAGCCGAACTTCCCCCGGCACTTTCCAGAACCCCGTTGTGCTGCGAGGATGGGGGAGCTCTACAAGAACGTGGTGCAGCAGGAGGCGAACACGTGGATCCGGAAAAGGAAGGTAGAGTCAGTCATTTCATGCGTGCCACATTTTTGGGGGCAAGCCCGGTTTAGTAGTAAACAAAAAGCTCAGATCTGTTTGGAGCCCCTCACGGAAGCAGATTCTGTGCAGTTGGGTCCCGGATGCGTTCCCAAGGGCGTATGGTGCCCTGGGACAACTGGCTGCACCTGCTGGCTTGAGTTCCCCAAAACGTGGAAAAGGAGCGTCTCGTTTTGAGAGAACTTCATCCAAAATGGCTTCGCTCAGCCATGTCTAGTTGTTCTTTGGTGCATTTCGCCAGGGGATGTTAGGACTTTAACTTTTTGCCATCTAAGAGGGTTTTCCGTATTAAACCACTAAAAGTTAAACCTTTAGCCGGGGAGCAGAAAGCAACCGAGTTTTGAGGCTGTCCCTTTTGGTTTCCCTTGAGACAGGTTTTCTTAAAGGTGTCCCTTTCAATGGGCTGACACCTTTCCGTGAGTCCTGACAGAGAACAGCGGCCACATTGAACCTCTCTCGAGCACTTGACCCGATGGAAAGCAATTCAGACAGCTGGAATCAATGTTCCTCTTTTTTTGCCGACCTTTCAGGAAACTCACGGGTCTTGTTTTTTGTTCGCGGGAGAGGAAAACCCATCCCTCCCACAGGTGCTATGGTTGGGTGCCCTGAATATTGCAAGTAGGGGAACAAGGGAATCCCATAATTTACCGTAATTTAAGTGTGGTTGGTTTACTTGCCTAGGTCCCCCAGCTAGGTGCCCTTTCTCACCCCTTTTTTGGTTGGGAGGGTTCCCCTACCAAATTAGACTACAGAAAAATGAGAAAAGTTGGTACCCTTTTTCTAACCTCTCTACTGGAGGACCTAGCTGCAATATTTACGGGGGAAGGGATGCACATGCCAACCTGCGAGTGGTTCCAAACCGCCAGACAAAGAAGCTGAGCCAGATCGCCATGGTCGTGGTGAGGCGCGGAGCGGCGTTTTTTTCCCCTTTTTTCCGCCAGGTTTGGTTCACAACCCAACCCAGCCACCCACCCCAACCCACCCCCCCATCCCACCCCCCCCACCCCCCCACAAACCCAAGCCAACCCAACCCAACCCAAGCCAACCAACCCAAGCCAATCCAAGCCAACCCAACCCAACCCAACCACCCACCCAGCTGGGAGCATGCATGTAGGCCGCCGGCAACCCTTTTGGGCCACCATGGAAGTGCACGGGATACTTTGCCAGAGGGATCGCTCGACCTTTTGAACCTTCTGCCTTTCCGGGTTTCTTTTTTGTTTCCGTTCAACTAGCAAGAATTGGACAACTTCTTGCATCGATCCGCCTGGCCAATCAAGACGGGTACGTGCAAGCAAGCCGTCCCCTGTAGAAACTTTCGGCAGTCGCAGGCTGTTCCCGTTTCCCGACAAGAAGTACGAGCTGGAAGCTCAGAGGCTCAGATCTTCGCGTGCATCTCTGGCATGGCGCATGGCCCCTTCTTTTTTTTGCAGGGCTTGTCATGCGGGAGGATATTCCCTCCCCCCCAAAGAAACGAAGGAAAGTGATCCTCCAACTGAGTGAAAGTAGATGGCACGCTTCCGCCTTAGTTATCCCCTTTACTTGCCTACCCAGAGAAAGTAAAAATGAAATAAAACGTGCCATCTGCTTTGTCAACCGCCACTGCCTCAGAGCGACAGAACCATGCACGGTTGTGAGATGTTGTGAGATGTTGTGAGAAGGGTCCGCACTCTTTGGCGTATGTGTAATTTAATATCGTGCTTTGTTTTATCCCCCGGTAGTGCCCTTTTACCAACTTTTTTGGTTGGGAGGGTTCCCCTACTCAAATAGACCACAGAAAAACGGGTACCCTTATTCTAACCTCTCTACTGGAGGACCTAGTTATTTGTTCTTCACTCTTCTACTTTCAGCCTCCGAAGTGCAGCTTGACTGCTCAGGTTCAACCTGACTCACGTAGTGGTCTTCTCGACTCTCATCGGCATGCTTTGCATGCTTCACCATCCGGCGCAGGACATGGAGCTGGCATCAAACAAGACGCACACACATCCACGCACCCACACGGGCTGGTCCAGGCCAAACGGTATTCCGTTGTTTTTGCTTTCAAACTAAGACAACAAAGGGTAGCCTCAAAAGGAAGACCTACAGACGTCTGCATCGGAAACTCCACGGCGCGTCTGGCGCGCAGGATGTCATTCAGCACGAGCTAGAGAAGACTCAGAAGGCGTCATTCTCGAGCCATGTGTTCTTCAACTGGAGTTCCCGGCTCGTCTCAGTTCCTGTTTTGAACCGAGAGGATTTTGGTTAAACCTACGGGCTTGCCTCATGTGGAGACACACCTAGGTGTGGAGACACACAAAAAAGGCAACACACCAGACCACAAACCACCACAGCACGAACACAAGGTGCGGACAGTTCAGAACAATATCTTGAGTCTTGAGCAAATGTTTCTATCGACTGGGCCCAACGTCACCTGTCTTGGCGGGGCCACGAAGCACGAAACCCAGTGTCCTCTTCCTTCACAAACAACCCTGTGTTGAGGACATTTGGAAAGGAAACTAAAGAGATACTGTGGATGGACGAAGTCCTGCACCACTTGGAAACCATGGGATACCAGTGGTGCAGGATTTCGTCCATCCACAGTATCAACCACAAATTGCTTTTGGCATGTATTTGTCGCTGGTGTCGAGTCGTGCCAGCAGGCAGCAGGGGTGTCATTCTGTAGATTTCCTCCAGCCAACATGGGTGTGTGTGTGTGTGTGTTTTTCTCCGGGACCCCCCCAAGATAGTGGGTTACTTAAAACCTTCCCAAAACGGGTACCCTCAAGAAAGAAACACCCCTCTGTTTTCCCGAAAAAGGCGCTATCTTTCTTGTTCTTAGGGGGACGAAAATGAACCTTGGAACAAGCGCCTCCCTATGGTAGGAACTAGATCTTGAGAACTCCCCCCAAGAGTGATGGTATCTGCGCCGCTCAGAACAAGAAGAAGCGAGAAGAAGCTGAGAAGAAGCGAGAAGAAGCTGAGAAGAGGACCTGCGCATTGCTGAGAGCGAGAGAGTCTGGTCCATGCGCAGCTTTCAGGAGGAAGAAGGAGGAAAGCAAGGAGCACAAATAATTCACGGATGGAAAATGATCAATAAGTAATCCAAATTGTAACATATATAGATGTTGCTAATATAATGATCGTTATTATTATATTATGTGGCCGTGAATCTTTTTAGGGGTCTGTAACGCGCGACGCGCCACGACTCTTGTTACGGAGGTCTGTAACGGAGGTCCTTGTTAAACAGGTCTGTAACGGAGAAGAAGAAAAAACCAACATTTCCTGACAAGCAGTATTAATAGTATAATGTAGCATAGCATAACAAGGTATGTAATGGTTATATTACGAGGTTTGTAATGAGGCAAAATAAAGCATAGGACGCAAAGCGTGTTTCCATAGTAGTAGCTTGCTTGTAGTTATTTAACGTAAGCTAAGTTGCGGTAAAAAGGGGGGTCGTTGGTTCGGGTTGGGATTGGGTCTGTAATGAGGTATGTAATGGCTATGTAATGGCTATGTAACGAGGTCTGTAACCAGGCAAAGCGAAACAGAATGCATAAAGCGCGTTTCCGAAATATTAGCTTGCTTGTAGCTATTTATCGTAAGCTAAGTTGCGGCAAAAAGGGGGGTCGTTGGCCCGGGCTGGGGGTCTATAACGAGGTATGGAATGGCTATGTAACGAGGTGTGTAGCGAGGTAGTTTGTCCATTTGAGGTGTATAATGAGGGTATGTAATGAGGGGTGTGTAATGAGCTAATTGGTGTTGTTTTAGAGGTTTGTAATGCATGGTCGTTGTGGCTCTATTATAGATTCCTATAGAAAAAAATGTTATGTGTACTATTTTTATATTTTGATAAGTTTAATATATATATATATAATGGTTTGATTATTAATTATATTATAATTATTATATATAATTTAAATTATAAAATGTATTATGAATGAAAATATATTTTTTGTATTAAATTGTTTTTGAGGAATGAATTTAATTTGTTAATTTATAATCGTAATATTGTATTGAATTAATGTAGATGATTATAAGATTTAATTGAATTGAATATTTGGTATTTGTGGAAATTGAATTTGTTGATTGATTTTTATTTTTAGCTTTTGGAGGTCTATTTTTATTTTTAATGAATGATATAGGAAATTGATTAAATAGATTTGAATTTTGGGATGGATATTTTATTTTTGTTTTTTAGTTTTATAAAATGAGATGGGGTAATTTTAAATATAGGGATGTTATTGATGATTATATATATTGTGAATTATCTTGATATTGTGTTTTGCCATTAATAATTATATTGATATATATTTAGAATTTTATTTTATTATGATTATTTATAATTAAACAGGATTATAAAATGAAATTGATTTTTTTGAAAAGAAATACATGGTTGTAAGATTGGGAATATTGCAAAGAATAATTTGTGTTCGAAGAATAATGAATAAGTGGTTTTTTAATGGATGTATTAAAATAAACAAATTCTTATTATTATCTAGACAATTCTGGAATTTATAGAGGAGGAATTACTAATTTAAAATATAAATATAAAGATCTACAGATATATATCGAAGATCCACTTGCTGGCTAACCCGGGGCAGGACGTGGCGCCCATCGGCGCAGCCAGGCAGGAAGACAGCCTCCTGTTGTCGTAGATGCAGCTGGGCAGCCTGCTAACCACATGAAGGGAGCCTCGGAGCACTTCCACTTCCTCTCGGTCCTTGCGGGGACCTACGATTTCTTTATTTATTATTAATTGAACCACCTTTTATGTTAATTTATCTCGTTCTTGATAGTATCAGAATTTGGTATATGATACCTGAACAATTTGATTTCTCATATTTAGATAATTGAAATATTTAAAACCACAAAATAAGAATTCAATATTATATAATTGATTCTTCGAAATTTTATATTTAAAGGATATCCCAATCTATATTTACAATTCGTCCCTCTAATTAAATTAATTTCCCGCCATGGGCACGATAAAAACATATACACCTATTTAATGGGAATTAATATAAACATAAATGGAATTATTGAATTGTTTATTTAAGGGTGTTTTATTAAATCAAAATTAAATTGGTTGAATATATATTATTTTCAGAGGTTAATTTGATGTTTATATTACTAATATTTATATTAATCGATTTAAAAAGAATCAACAAAATAAAACAAAATATATTTTGATTATTATATCATTTCGGTACGGGATAATAATTGTATAATATAAAATATAATAATAATTCTATGAATTTAAACAATATATTGTTAATTTCTTCTTAAAAATATATATATTAATATTCAATTTTGATTTTTGAATTTGGAATCAATCAATTTATATTTATATATTGATTTTGGTATTATATATATAATACATCATATTTATTATTTAATTAATATATAAATTATTAATTATATTTATAAAATATATATTTTTAGATATATAAAGAATTTCATTGTTAAACTAACACAATTGTGTATTCAATCCAAATAGTTCCCTATTTATCACCTATACCATTACCTTCTAAATTATATATTCCTTAATACCTAACTATCAACCTCACAAATCATATTCCCGTCTAATATTCCTATCTTTATTAAAAATTGATTTTTTCATAAAAACATAAATAAAAAATAAAACAAAATCTTGAATTAGCTAAATATAAATAAGAATTTAAATATATTATACAAATTAAAATACATAAACAAACATCTAAAATATTAATATATATGAGTCAATAATAATTGATATTATATTATATTATATTTATAAAATTAATATAAATGTATTCAATAATTTTTAGTTATATTATAATTATATTAGATCCTTATAATTGATTATATTAAATAAATCTGTATATATTCTTCTTATTTTATAATAATTTTGTAGCCAACCCGGAGGATTATTTACGCCTCAAAAACAGCTCCATAACACCCGAACCTATATTTCTTAAACCTAAGCCGACCAAACCACTTTCTATCTTCGCTACCACATGCTCGAATTAATTATAGCTAAATTCTAGGGCAGAGACGACGACTACTAAATATGCCGTTCGATCAAAGCTAACCGATACGTTTTCAGATTTTAAAATAGAATATATAATATAAAAAATCTAATTCTTAAATTTACCCAAATCCCAAACCTAAGCCCGAAATCTAAATCCTAAACCTGAATCCTAAATCTAAACTAAATCTAAACCTCAAACTTAAGCCCTAATACCTACATCCCAAATCTAAATATTTCATAATTCCTAAATCTATATTCTAAATTCCGAATTTGAATTCTAAAACCAAAATCTAAACCCTAATTCGAAACCTAAGTCAAAAAAAAACAAAGTGCAACTCAACAATATTTCGGAAATAATAATAAACCATCACAATTATAAATAATTATATTCATAATATAAATCAATATTCGAATAAGAGAAAATCGAATCCAATATCGAATTTGCATTATTAAACAAAATATATATTCTTTTTAGCCGATACTTATCGAAAAAACAGATAATAATTGTTTCAAAGCAAAGATCACAAAATAAATTAATATAAGAATATATTATTAATATTCAATTCCCATCCATATTCATTATATTAAATTGAATATATAAATATTATATAATTGTATATCAATATCTATCAATATATATGAAATTATAATCATTATATATCTAAATAGAATTAAACCAATTATTTAAATAATATATATTTTTTTCTAAATTTAAAGGAAATTAATTTAGATTAAAAATAAATATATGTTAAATTAATATATATAAATTATATTTATTAATTATATATATTCAATTTCTATATTAATTATTTAACAAAGAATATAATATTTTTTGCACCAATAATTAATATTAACATAAGTAATTATAAATAAAGATTTGAATTAATATTTAAAGATTTTAATTATTAAAATTATATAATTATAAATATTTTAAATCGGGAATGTAATAATTTAAATTATTTTAAATATTTAAGACCCAAATCAATTTAAATATTTCAATTATTTTAAATCGACAATCCGGAAATTTAAAATATTTATAAAATAATATAAATTTAAATCGAATATAATAATGCAATTAATATAAAATATACAATTATTTAATCATTCCAAATCTCATTAAATCACAACATACACAACCACTATAATTTGCATTAACGTATCCTAGGCCAAATTAAATTATATCCATCCAAATCAATATATATCTATATATCTATCAAATTAAACTATATATTTAATCAACCAACCAAAAAATAATATTAATAACCCAAAATATATATCATTCATTTCGACTCCAAAATTGGACCCAACCCGCCTCAATCCGATTTCGAAAGACTCCTCGACTCTCGACCCTTTTGCCTCTTCTTGACGCGAACTCGACTCCCGCCGCAGAAATGACTGGATGGCCAGCAACAGCAACCAACCTTCACCTACCCATGTAGCACTCTTATTTCGCAAGGCCCGCAGCACGTCTTCAAGGCCAGGCCGAATGAGGTGGGCAGAAGCTAGCACCTACCCCTGACTCAACCCACTGTGTCTACGACTTCAGCCGCTATTACTCCTTCTACGACTTGGACGAGGGGCGGAGTGGACTGCGTAACTACGCTATTACCCCCACCCAACCCCACCCCATCCCACCCCCTCCCACCCCCGCACCGCGCGTCAACACCATGTTGACATGCCGCATACGCAACCACCCCCCCCCCCAACACCACCCGACGTGTGGGACGGGGCGGACCGGTCATGAAGGTAGTATTCAATATTTGCCTAGTATGTGCGGGTTTTGAGCTTGCTGATGGCTTCAGCGACCTCATGAAGACATGTATTTATTTATATATATATATATATAAATGTATGTATCTATCGTATCAATTGGCAAAGCCAAGTATATTGAAACGTTTCCCCAGTTTAATCAAGAACGTCTTTATTGATAGCAAGGCATGCATATGTTATTTGATTATTTGATGGACATTTTGCAGTGGATCTTTTTAATCCAAGCAGAACACGCGTGAGGAGATGTCTGACACCAGCCACCGCACACCCTCCAGCAAACCCTCACCGGTGTAGGCTGAGCATGCCA